GCTTGAACTCTGGGCCTGGGCACTGCCTCTGAGCTCTTCAGCTCAAGGCGAAGCACTCTACCACTTGAGCCACAGTGCCACTTCCAGTTTTCTGGTGGTGCATTGGAGATAAGAGTCTCACAGACTTTCCTGCCCTGGCTGGCTTTGAACCACGATTCTCAGATCTCAGCCTCCTAAATAGCTAGGATGACAGGTGTGAGCCACTGGCACTTGGCTCTAAACTTCTTCTTCTACCCCTAGCCTGTCAGTGCAGCCCTGAGGGGGCACTCAGTGGTTTATGTGAAGGAACTAGTGGACAGTGTCCCTGCCGAACGGGTGCCTTTGGACTTCGCTGTGATCGCTGCCAACGTGGCCAGTGGGGATTTCCTAGTTGCCGGCCATGTGTCTGCAATGGGCATGCGGATGAATGCGATTCTCACACGGGTGCTTGCTTGAGCTGTCGTGATCACACCGGGGGTGAACACTGTGAAAGGTGATCTTAGAGCAGCATTGAGTGGGTTGATGGTTGGGCAGGCTGTCTGGGGATGCTTAGAACTCTTCCCTTTCTTCCCCTATAGGTGCCTTGCTGGTTTCCATGGAGACCCACGGCTGCCGTATGGCAATCAGTGTCGACCCTGTCCTTGTCCTGAAGGCCCTGGGAGCCAACGACACTTTGCCACATCTTGTCACCGGGATGGGTACTCTCAGCAGATCGTGTGCCATTGCCGGGCAGGCTACACAGGTGAGTGGTTTTCGGGGAGAGGGGGGCAGGGAGGCAGGCATTGAGATCAAGCTGAGCTGGCTGAGGTGAATACTTATGGCTTTCTCTTGATCACGGGCAGGGCCACGGTGTGAAACTTGCGCCCCTGGGCACTTTGGGGACCCCTCAAAGCCAGGTGGTAGGTGCCAACTGTGTGAATGCAGTGGGAATATTGATCCCAAGGACCCTGAGGCCTGTGACCCCCGCACGGGGCAATGCTTACGTTGCTTATACCACACGGAAGGCCCTGGCTGTGCTATCTGCAAGCCTGGCTTCCATGGGCAAGCTGCTCAACAGAGCTGCCATCGTGAGTATGGATACAGGATGGGATGGCTGGGGGTGGGCTCCACTGACTGGGCTCTTGACTATTGTCCTCATCTTTGTTGGCATAGGTTGCACCTGCAATCTGCTGGGCACAAGTTCCCAGTACTGCCCATTGGTTGACCAGTGCCACTGTGATCCGAACAGTGGGCAGTGCCCGTGTCTCCCCAATGTCCAGGGCCTTAGCTGTGACCGTTGTGCCCCCAACTTTTGGAATCTCACCAGTGGCCATGGCTGCCAACCTTGTGCTTGCCACCCAACCCGGGCTAGAGGCCCCAGCTGTAATGAGGTATGGAATCCTGTAGCTCTCTGGATAGATGGTTGCCTCGCTGTCTGCTTCATTTTGAGAACTCAGTCTGAACCTTGGCTCTGTTCTCACTCTAGTTCACAGGGCAGTGCCACTGTCGTGCCGGCTTTGGTGGGCGGACTTGTTCTGAGTGCCAAGAGCTCCACTGGGGAGACCCTGGCTTGCAGTGTCGTGGTGAGGCAGCTGGGGAGACCGGGGTGGATGGAGGGGTTTTGTCAGGAGGTCCCCAAAGAGGCGCAAACTCTACAGTGCATGTCCTTTCCTGCAGCTTGTGATTGTGACCCTCGCGGAATAGACACTCCTCAGTGCCACCGAGCCACAGGCCACTGTAGCTGCCGCCCGGGTGTGTCTGGTGTGCGCTGTGACCAGTGTGCCCGAGGATTCTCCGGTGTCTTTCCTGCCTGCCACCCTTGCCATACGTGCTTTGGGGACTGGGACCGTGTGGTGCAAGACTTGTCTGCTCGTACCCGGCGCTTGGAGCAATGGGCCCAGGAATTGCAACAGACGGGTGTGCTTGGTGCCTTTGAGAGCAACTTTTTGAAACTGCAAGAGAAGCTGGGCATGGTACAGACCATCGTGGGTGCCCGCAATACCTCAGCTGTCTCCACGACGAAGCTGGTGGAGGCCACAGAGGAGCTGCGGTATGGCGGGGCCAGAAGAAACCTGATGGGTTGGGGAATGGGCCCAATGGATGGAGGCTGCAGGCTCTCTAAACCTGCTCTCCCCTACTGATACAGGCGTGAAATCGGAAAGGCCACGGAGCACCTGACTCAGCTAGAGGCAGGACTGACAGACATACAGGATGAGAACTTCAATGCTAACCACGCACTCAGTGGCCTGGAGCGAGATGGGCTTGCACTAAATCTCACACTGAAGCAGCTTGATCAGCATCTGGACCTGCTCAAGCATTCAAATTTCCTTGGTAAGTGGTTGGCTACATAGGCAGGCAGATGGGCCCATGTTGATCTTCAGCTGACCATAGACCTCTGCCCCAACGCTTAGGTGCCTTTGATAGCATCCGCCATGCCCACAGCCAGTCGGCAGAGGCAGAACGTCGTGCTAATACCTCTGCCCTGGCGGTACCCAGTCCTGTGAGCAACTCAGCAGATCTCCGGCGTCGCACTGAAAGGCTGATGGAAACTCAGAGGAAAGACTTTAATCGCAAACATCTGGCGAACCAGCAGGCACTGGGCAAGCTCTCAACCCATACTCAAGGCCTGAGTCTGACAGGCATAAATGAATTGGTGAGCTACAAGAGTGGGGTGGGATGGGGAGATGTTGGATGGTATTCTCACAGAGCTCTGACTTGTTCTGGGCCTGGCAGGTGTGTGGGGCCCCAGGGGATGCTCCGTGTGCTTCCAGCCCTTGTGGTGGTGCCGGCTGTCGGGATGAAGATGGGCAGCCCCGCTGTGGAGGCCTTGGCTGTAGTGGAGCAGCAGCCACAGCAGATCTAGCCCTAAGCCGGGCCCGGCATACACAAGCAGAGCTACAACGGGCATTGGTAGATGGTGGCGGCATCCTCAGCCAAGTGGCTGAGACTCGTCGGCAGGCAGGCGAGGCCCAGCAGCGGGCCCAGGCAGCCTTGGACAAGGCTAATGCTACCAGAGGACAAGTGGAGCAGGCCAATCAGCAGCTTCGAGAACTCATCCAGAGTGTGAAGGACTTCCTCAGCCGTGAGCCTCCCATGTGGCCCCGGGGCCATGTCATTATTTCTCCTGTGTCTGTGTGTCTCTTCATCTCAGGACCTTCAGTGGGACTTGTTTATGGTCCTGTGGCTAAGCCCTGAGCCCTTGCTCCTATGTGACTCCTCTAACTCGTGTCTCTCACTTTGTGTCCCTTGTTGTAATTTCCATCCCTATAGTGTATCAATATACCTATTAACAAACGCCTATCCCATGTCCTCCACCCCTCATGATGATTGTCCCCATACTCATGCTGGAGAATCTATCCTTAAGTTCTTTAACCTGTGTCCCCGATAGAGGAGGGGGCTGATCCTGATAGCATTGAGATGGTGGCCACACGGGTGCTGGAGTTGTCCATCCCAGCCTCACCTGAGCAGATCCAGAACCTGGCGAGTGCAATTGCAGAGCGAGTCCGAAGCTTGGCAGATGTGGACACCATCCTAGCACGGACGATGGGGGATGTGCGTCGGGCTGAGCAGCTACTTCAGGATGCACAGCGGGCACGGTATGACCCAATCCAACCCTCACCCCTATCCTTGACAGCTGCCTGATCCTGATTTACAGGCTCTGATTCTCTCTTTTCTTCAGGAGCCGGGCTGAGAGTGAGAAACAGAAGGCAGAGATGGTACAGGTGGCACTGGAGGAGGCCCAGCGGGCACAGGGTGCTGCACAGGGGGCTATCCGAGCAGCAATGGTTGACACACAGGACACAGAGCAGACCCTGAATCAGGTGTGGTCTCTGTAGGACATCAATGGGACAAGGTTATGGGCATGCCCCATAGATCTGTTTAACCCTGGACTCGTCCATGGCAGGTACAAGAGAAGATGGCTGGTGCTGAGCAGGCCCTTGGCTCTGCAGGTGAGCGGGCCCGGCAATTGGATGCTCTTTTGGAGGCTCTGAAACTGAAACGGGCAGCAAATAGCCTGGCAGCCTCTACTGCTGAAGAAACAGCAGATAGTGCCCAGAGCCGTGCCCGCGAGGCTGAGCAGGTAAGCTTGAGAGACAGCTGAAGGAGGTAATCATGGTTGAGTCTCTGCTGGGCTAGCATACTGACCCTGATCTCCACTTGCATAGCTATTGCAGGGAACAGTTGGCGACCAATACCAAACGGTAAGAACCCTGGCTGAACGCAAGGCCCAGGGTGTGCTGGCTGCGCAGAAGAGGGCAGAACGTCTGCGGGATGAGGCTCGCAACCTGTTACAGGAGGCTCAAGACAAGCTACAGAAGCTACAGGGTGAGAGGACTGTTTGGAGCAGAGGCCAGGAGGGGTGGGGATTATGGGAGAAGGACACCCCCGAAATTGATACTTGGCTCCTCCTAGAACTGGAGGGTGCCTATGAAGAAAACGAACGCGCACTGGAGGGGAAAGCAGCTCAGCTGGATGGTCTGGAAACCAAGATGCGCAGCGTGCTTCAAGCCATCAACCTGCAGGTGCAGATCTACAACACCTGCCAGTAACCCCTGCTCGAGGGCCTTCCCCCAAAGTCCCCAGCACTGCTGCGCATGCGCGTTGCCTACCCACATAGGAATGAGCCTGGCAGGGCTGGCAATAAACCAGTGTGAACCTCCACTATGTTGTCGGTCTTCTTTAATTTGGAACGTGTGCGTGCGTGTGTGTGTGTTTGTGTGTGTGTGTGTGTGTGAGATGAATGTCTCCCCTTCCAGACCTGGCCGGCCATCCTTGGCCACCCACAGTACTAATAGCTCCAGCTAAGGCTCCAGCACCGGAAGTGCTCTTCTTCAGGGCTTGGGCCCGCCCAGGAGCTGTCCATCAACGCCAGCCCGCTCCCACCGGAAGTGCGTCACCAGCCTAGCGCTCGGCCTCCCCTCCGCCGTAACTAGAAGTGGAAACAAAACAAGCGGCTGTGGCAGCGGCGGTGGCGGCGGCGGCGACGGCGGCAGCGGCAGCGGCAGCGGCGGTGCCGGGACGGGTGGGGGGGGAGGGGCGCGCCGGAACCGGAACCGACCTGACGCCGGAACCGGAATCGTGAGCGGGGTTGCCAGGGCCCGGAGAGGGCTGGCGGCGGCGGTCTCGCTCGGTGAGTGCGGCAGGCCGCAGTTCGCCGGTTCGGCCTCCGCGGGCAGGCCGCCGCGGGTGTGCTGGCTCCAGGGCGGCCTGTTTCAAGGTCACGGGCGGTACCAGCCCCGACCCTTCCAAGGACCGCGTCGGGCCGGGCCTCACGGATGCCGAACGGAGCCGTTATTGCTCCCTACGCCCGTGGCCGGCCTTCCTCCAGAGAGGACTGGAGCGGCGGCGTGCGAGATGGGGGGCGGCTTCCTGGAGGAGGTGGTGGCTGGGCCCCGGGGGGGTCGCCGGCCGGAGCTGTGCTCGGGTCCGGGGGTAACTGCGTAGCCTCTCTTCTGGCCAGCTCCAGTTTCTAATCACCCCCTTCCCTCCCCCCCCCCCGATGCTTCGACGTCCCTGGAGCAGATGAAGGGGGGGGAGGGAGGAGGGGAGGAGGAACATGACCTGTGACTTGGGGGGGGAGTCTGGATGTGTGAGGACAAGGCGGATGTGCTTCTCCCCGCCCTCCCCCGCCTCAATTCTGAACTGGCAACCCCCCCCCTCCCCATCCCCACCAGTATACCACCTCTGACCCACAGAAGGATATCTTATCTCCCTTCTAGAAGGAGAAACAAAACCAGCCCCTAAGGCGACTCCCTCCCGTCTCTCTCTCTCTCTTCCCCCCCCCCCCCCATGAGAACCTGTAAGACTAGTCATTATCCGATTTAGCTGTACAAACCAGACTTGAGGCAGCCAAAGGGTCCCCTACCTAGATAGATGCAGGGGTTCATCTCTCACCCTTATCGTCAAGCTTTTGTTATGACAACTTTCATTTTTGGATGGAGAAACAGCTCTGAATCCACTAGCCCAGGCCCCGTGGAAACCCAAGAAGGTTCTCTGTAGCTCAGAGCTGGTCAGGGATTTGGGAAGGAAGGTAGTGCTTGTCTGTTCCAGTCTCAAGCTGAATGCCCACCATCCTACCTTGACAGTGCCCCTCCTGTATCTTGGAACAGAGAAAGAAGGATCCCGAGAGGTAGTTGGTACATAGGAACATGTTGGTGTAATTGTAGCCTTATGGGACCAGCTCCAGTAGGAGCTGGCAAGGAAGCAGATGGATATCTTAGATCCAGGACCTTTTCCGGACAGTTACAACACCTGAGTTAGGCCTTGGTTTTTGGCCACAGAGCCGGGTTCTTGCTGTTTGATGGTCTCCACCTTTGCTGCCTTTCTCCTCCTCCTCCCACTTGTCTGGTGGTGACTAAGCAGCCAGTGAGAGTGGAAGAAAAGGGAGCTCCCTGCTCAGTGCGTCAGCCCTGTGGGCTGGAGCTATGGCTTCTATCCAGAGGAGGATCCTGGTCCCAGGCCATGACTGATTTGACCTGGCACCTTCTCAAGGAGGCTTCCAGCATTGTGGCAGGTTTCTAGGAGGCTTGGCTTGAAGTGATTAATGCTACTTGCAGTACTTAGTCCCTCTGTAGAATAGCCTGATTAGATGATTGGCACCTGTAGTACTAGCTACTCAGGATGAGCTCTGCAAATCAAGGTTCAAAGCCAGCCCAAATCAGTCACGTTTGAAATAAGAGACTTTTTTTTTTTTCTAGTATGGGGCTTGAACTTAGGGCTTGGGTGCTGTCCCTTAGTATTTTTTCACTGAAGTTTGACACTAATTTGAGGCACAGCTCCACTTCTAGCTGTGGAGTGGTTAATCAGAGAAAAGAGGCTAATAGTTTTTCCTGCCTGGAAATGCCTTCAATCTGGCTATAGGATCATATGAGCCACCAGGGCCTGACCCGAGAGACTTATCTTCAAGGAGCCAGCAAAAAGCTGGAAATGGAAGTGTGGCTCAAGTGGCAGATCACCAGCCTTAAGCAAAAAAGCTAAGTAAGAGCTTGAAGCCGTGTGTTTAAGCCCCAGTATTGGCACAATAAAAGAGTAACCTCACTTTCTGGGGCTTAGGTACTACCCTGCAGGGTTAGGAATGTTCTGGATTGCTAAGCCCTAACTGTAGTTAAGGAGCAAGTTGTTGAGCCTTGACAGTGATTACTGGTTGTTTTTTCATTAGGCTGTTGGTTCCTTGCTAAAGAATTGGGCCACAAAGAATTGCCAAGATAGCTGGGCCAGGAAGAAAGCGCCGCAGCCCTGACCCAGACACTGTTGCCGACTCTGGGGCACTCTGGCTGTCAACCAAGCGGCTCAAGATGTCTGGCGGGGCCAGTGCCACAGGCTCAAGGAGAGGGCCACCAGGACTAGAGGAGGCCACGAGTAAGAAGAAGCAGAAGGATCGAGCAAACCAGGAGAGCAAGGAAGGAGATCCTCGGAGAGGTGCGGGTGATATTCCCAGGATACTCATGCCCTTTTCTCCTTTCCATGTGCATGCAAATAGAGGATTTGAAGATGATTATTTCATTGTCCCTTTTGGCTTGGTTTGCGATTGAGAAGGAGACATGACAGCCTGGATAGAGTCTCAGATTTGAGCCTGGGGTACTTGGCTGAAATACTGAGATGATGGTATTTTTGGAATGGTGGTGTTTTGGGAGACTGCTCCCCCTTTCCCCCTCCTCATTCTTTGCTTTGTTGTCAGGATCAATGCCCACTCCTCGAGAGGAGCAGACCAAAGAGGGTGAGTAATGGATGGGGAAGGGAAGGAGCAGTAGAGGGCAGTAGGGCTGGGTTTCTTGGACATATCCCTACCGATCGCTTGTAGAGACCCTTCTGATCTCTTTGCCCCTCCTTTACAGAGTTGTTGCTTGACTGGAGGCAGAGTGCAGATGAGGTGATTGTTAAGCTCCGAGTGGGAGCAAGTCCCGTGAGGCTAGAGGAGGTAGATGCTGCTTTCACTGACACTGACTGTGTGGTGAAGCTCCCAGGTGCGTCCATCTGCCCTGAGCCCAGCAGGACCTTTTAGTTCTTTGATAACTGCCACTGAAGCTCACTGCTTCCACTCTCTCTCCCAGATGGTCGTCAGTGGGGTGGTGTTTTCTTTGCCGAAATAGAAAGTTCTTGCGCCAAAGTGCAAGCCCGCAAGGGTGGCTTTCTACAGCTAGCACTACCCAAAAAGGTTCCTCTTCTCACGTGGCCCTCTCTCCTGGTAAGTTTGAAGTGCAGGGTCGGGCGGTGTGATACCCTACCAGGGCCCTAGGCAGTCCCCAACTGTTGTTGTCTTTGGCAGAAGAAGCCTCGAGGGACCCAGGAGCTGGCACTGGGGTTGCGGTGTCAGGAGAATGGGCAGGAATTGTCTCCCATTGCCCTGGAGCCAGGCCTTGAGCCCCGCCGGGCTAAGCAAGAGGCCCGCAATCAGAAGCGGGCTCAGGGCCGTGGTGAGGTAGGCTCAGGGGCTGGCCCTGGGGCCCAAGCAGGGCCTAGCGCCAAGAGGGCTGTGCATCTCCGCAGAGGGCCAGAGGGAGAAGGGTCCAGGGATGGCCCTGGACCCCGGGGCGATGCCCCATCCTTCCTGGCTGATCCAGCCACTCAGGTGAGAGTCAGTTGCCTGTTCGGGGTATTAGGATGTAGAGGGGAGGGACATGGACTAAAGTTGGGGCCCCCTGTCCTACGCAATACTGATTATGCCCACAATTTCACCACGACTAGGTTGAGGCTGAGGAACAGCTCCGTGTACCACCACTGAATCCCCAACCTTGTCTTCTTGGCTCAGAGAAGAATTTAGCCCTTTTGGCAGGCGAGAAAGCAGTGTCTCCCAGGAATGACCCAGTCTCTCCAGCCATGGCCCGGAGTAGAGACCCTGGGAAAGCTGACCATATCAAAGAGGAGATGGCAGTAGCAGCAGATGCTGCAACCTTGGTGGATGGTAAAAGTGGGGTTGGGCGTGGCCTGGCAGAGCCTAGGTTGGGTTACAGGGTTGGTGGGTAAGTAGGAAGTAGTAGAGCGGCCAATCAGAGCCTGTCATGGGAGGTACTAAGCCATGTCTCAATGCAGACCCTGAGTCCATGGTGAACCTGGCATTTGTCAAGAATGACTCCTATGAGAAAGGGCCAGATTCTGTGGTGGTGCACGTGTACGTGAAGGAGATCCGCAGGGATACTTCTCGAGTCCTTTTCCGTGAACAGGACTTCACACTCATCTTCCAGACCAGGTGGGTGGAGAGGGGCTGAAGGGTAGATGGTATGCCTCCAGTGGAATTGCATATGTGACATTCTTCCTTTTGTCCTTCCTCCTTCCCTGCTCTGCTTCTGCAGGGATGGGAACTTCCTGAAGCTGCATCAGGGCTGCGGGCCCCATACCATCTTCCGTTGGCAGGTGAAGCTCAGGTGGGTGGTGCCCAGCCCCATCACTGTGCCTGTCCCAGCTGGGGCTCCAGCTCTTCTGTCTGGGTCTGTGTCGCTTGACACCTGTTCCCCCTAAGTCTCTGACCTCAGCCTTTACCCACAGGAACCTGATTGAGCCCGAGCAATGCACTTTCTGCTACACGGCGTCTCGCATTGACATCTGCCTCCGGAAGCGGCAGAGTCAGCGCTGGGGGGGCCTGGAGGCCCCAGCTGCACGAGGTCTGCATACGAGCTCCCTTCATTGCCCGTCCCTGCATGCTCAGGAGCCCCAGCCCTGCCACATGCTGCTAACCACCAGCCCCCTCATTCCCCCTTTTTAAGGTGCAGTGGGTGGTGCAAAGGTTGCCGTGCCGACAGGTCCAACCCCTCTGGATACAACCCCTCCAGGAGGTGCCCCCCACCCCCTGACAAGCCAAGAGGAAGCCCGGGCTGTGGAGAAGGATAAGCCTAAAGCTCGATCTGAGGACACAGGCCTGGATGGTGTGGCGGCCCGTACCCCCTTGGAACATGTAGCTCCAAAGCCAGAGCCACATCTGGCTTCGGTGAGGAACCTGGGCGAGGAGCAGATAGTAGATATGAAACCTCAGGGCTCCTCTCATACTGCCTCTGTTCCCATACAGCCCAAGCCCACATGTATGGTGCCTCCAATGCCCCATAGTCCCGTGAGTGGAGACAGCGTGGAGGAAGAGGAGGAGGAAGAGAAGAAGGTGTGTCTGCCTGGCTTCACTGGCCTTGTTAATTTAGGCAACACCTGCTTCATGAACAGCGTAATTCAGTCTCTGTCCAACACTCGGGAACTTCGCGACTTCTTCCATGGTGAGGGTCAGGGCCAGGGCCAAAAAAATCTAGGGCCTGGGCAGAAGGGATATGTTTGCCCCTCACACCTTTGCTTGGCTGCTGTTTTTAGACCGATCCTTTGAGGCCGAGATCAACTACAACAACCCCTTGGGGACTGGTGGGCGTCTGGCCATTGGCTTTGCAGTGCTGCTCCGGGCCCTGTGGAAGGGCACTCACCATGCCTTTCAGCCTTCCAAGTTAAAGGTGACCTGTGGCTGCTCCTAGCCCTGGCTAGAGGAGATGGGGGCGGAGGGTGGGGCGGGGGAGGTGGTAGTGGTGGGGCTTAGCTAATGGAGTGCACGGCAAATGGATGCTAAGGTTTCTCTTTCACATTTTGATCCCTGAATCCAGGCTATTGTGGCGAGCAAGGCCAGCCAGTTCACAGGCTATGCACAGCATGATGCCCAAGAGTTCATGGCTTTTCTATTGGATGGGTTGCATGAGGATCTGAATCGAATCCAGAACAAGCCCTACACAGAGACTGTGGACTCAGATGGGCGGCCTGATGAGGTCAGGGTGGGGGGTCACAGGGAGAGGTGTCTCTTTTTTTTTTTCCCCTGGCCCCTAGACCTCCTTGCTTCTTATCACTCTCCTCCTCAGGTGGTGGCTGAGGAAGCATGGCAGAGGCACAAGATGAGGAACGACTCCTTCATCGTGGACCTGTTTCAGGGCCAGTATAAGTCGAAGCTAGTGTGCCCTGTGTGTGCCAAGGTATAGTGGGCTTCCTCTAGAAAGAGACCCCCTAGTTTGGCTCAGCTAGCCTGGGCATATTAGGTTCAGAAGCAGCATTTTCAGGTGCTGTGGGACAAAATTGGAGCAACAAAGTTGGCTGCTCCTCTGTGGGCTGAAGTGGTCAGGCAGGGTAGGCTTTTCTGACTGATACCAAAGTGATGGCTTGGGCTGAGTGCTGGTGGCTGAGATCTGAGCTATGGTTCAAGTGGAAGAGCACTAGCTTTGGGCAAAAATGCTCATTTTCAGCACCCACCCTAGGACTGGCACCAGAAAAAAAAATGAGCTCATATAAAGTGAGCTCATATAAAGGTATGATATATAAGGGAGGTTGGGGTAGCATTGTGGCTAAGATTGGGAAGGCATATCAGATGTGAGAGAAATGGAACTGGGAAAGCAACTAAATTGCCAGAACATAAGATCTGTCTCAGAATGGGGGATTGCTCTCTCCTGGTAGGCCCTTGTGCTCCATCTGGTGTTCTTAGCCTAAGAGTTTAGTGATTGGTTTGGGCATTCTGAGAGCCATCAGAGCATCTGGATTAGGCTTTCTGAGCCCAAGCATCTTGTTCCTGTGTGACCATCCTAATGATGCTTCTGCCTCCACAGGTCTCCATCACTTTTGACCCATTTCTTTATCTGCCGGTGCCCTTGCCGCAAAAGCAAAAGGTTCTCCCCGTCTTTTATTTTGCTCGAGAGCCCCACAGCAAGCCCGTCAAGGTGAGGAGCAAGTCTCTATGCTTTGGGCTATCCCAGAGAACCTGGTTCTGCCACCCTATTAACTGTACCCATGTGTCACCTCAGTTCCTCGTAAGCGTAAGCAAGGAGAACTCCTGTGCAAGTGAAGTTTTGGATTCTCTATCTCAGAGTGTTCACGTGAAGCCTGAGAACTTGCGTCTGGCTGAGGTTTGTGTCTTTCCTCGGACTCTGACAAAGGTGGACGTGTGTGTGTGTGTGTGTGTGTGCGTGTGCGTGTGTGTGTGTGACTCTGACAAAGGTGGACGTGTGTGTGTGTGTGACTCTGACAAAGGTGGACGTGTGTGTGTGTGTGTGTGTGTGTTTACACAAGTGTGGGAAACGAAAAGGCTGTATAGGGCCTATGAAATCATTTAGTATATGAAAGTACAGATGTGTATGCCCCTTGGCTGCTTTGTAGCCTGGCTGCCTGTATTCATATGACCCTTGAATGGTGTTATAAATATCCAAATTGGTCCCTGGCAGAAAAAAAGCCTCCCTAGATAGTCATTGGCATCTGTACAAACATATATGTGACTGTCCATGGACAGCAAAAATGCAGGCAGTATGCTCCTTTTTTGAGGCACTGTTGAAGCCAGGCACTGGGCTGTGCAAAAGAGATGCCTTAGTCTCCAGCTGTCGTCATTGGTGGTAGGCCCTGACTGCCTTGCCTTTGTGGGATGAGGAACTTAAGACTGTCCATCACTTGCTATAGTGATTCTTCCCTCTTGCTGTTCTCTCATGTCTGCATGCTGGCTCTCCCTGAGAGCTCCTTGAGTTCATTTGTCTCAGAAAATTAGGGAAGAGGGTACTGGTGACTCACGCCTGTCATCCTAGCTAATCAGGAGGCTGAGATCTTGAGGATCGCAGTTCAAAGCCAACTCCAGCAGGAAAGTCTATGAGACTTTTATCTCCAATGAACCACCAGAAAACCAGAAGTGGTGCTGTGGCTCAAAGTGGTAGAGTGCTAACCTTGAGCAAAAGAATAGTTCAGGGTCAGCACCCAGGCTGTGTTCAAACCCCATGGCTGCCCCCCCTCCAAAAAAAAAAAAAAAGACATTAGGGAAGAGGCTCTTCAAATGTGACCCTTCTCTGATAATATGTTGTAGTCCTGTACATTAGGGCTCTGCCCAGTCTTTATCATTCAGACAGCCTTATGTATCTTGTGCAGTTGGGTGTTGAGACTGGTGCGTATGCAGGCATGTTCCTCTTTTGGTCCACAAACTCTATCCCTGACCCCACAGACCCCAGGGCAAGGTCCAGCTTTCCTTGTGCTTTGTGATCAGGTGGCTTATTCTCACCTGGGTCCTTGTGTTCTTTGTTCCCAGGTAATTAAGAATCGCTTCCACCGTATGTTTCTGCCCTCCCACTCGCTGGACACTGTGTCCCCATCTGATATGCTCCTCTGCTTTGAGCTGCTATCCCCAGAGCTGGCCAAGGAGCGGGTAGTGGTGCTCGAGGTGCAACAGGTGAGCGGGAGCCAACCTGATGCTGAGACGTCCTGGTTGGGAGGGTTCACTCCGGCCTGGCCTTGCTGAGCCAGACGACCCACCCTAGCGCCCCCAGGTACTCAGCGTTCCTATCTCCAAGTGTGCAGCCTGCCAGAGGAAGCAGCAGTCGGAGGATGAAAAGCTGAAGCGCTGTACCCGGTGCTACCGTGTGGGCTACTGCAACCAGTGAGGACCCCTATGGTTTCCCTCTCCCGTCTTCACCTTCCACTTGCTACTTCCCCTTCCTCACAAAAGCCCATATGCTTTACACTCGTTAGCTCTACTATACCAGGCTCTGGGGGAGGCAGGGCTGATATACCTAGTTCCCAGGGTCTCAGCCTCGACCACACCCCCTCCCCCCAGTATGTAGTCAAAGGAAATGAGGCTAAGGCTGTCTTCTTTCCCTTCCCTCCAGAATCTGCCAAAAAACCCACTGGCCTGACCATAAGGGTCTCTGCCGCCCTGAAAATATTGGCTACCCCTTCCTGGTCAGTGTACCTGCCTCACGCCTCACTTATGCCCGTCTTGCTCAGCTGCTAGAAGGTTACGCCCGGTAAGTGCCCAGCAGTGGGGCTAGGGTCTGATAGATGGAGAGCAGAGGTGATGAATGGGTTGGTCACAGCTTATTACTTTGTTTTCTTTTCCAGATACTCTGTGAGTGTATTCCAGCCACCTTTTCAGCCTGGCCGCATGTCCTTGGAGTCCCAGAACTCTGGCTGCACCACATTGCTCTCTACTAGCTCCCTGGAGGCTGGGGACAGTGAGAGGGACCTCATTCAACCTCCCGAGCTCCAGTTAGTGACCCCTGTGGATGAAGGGGACACAGGGCTTCCCCGGATGTGGGCGGCCCCCGATCGAGGCCCTTTGCCTAGCACCAGTGGAATGGCTTCCGAGATGCTGGCCAGTGGGCCTAATGAGGGTGACACCTTACCTGCTAGTGAGAGGGTGTCCCGGCCTGAAGGTAAGATCTGGTGAAAGGCTCTGGGAGCTGGGGGCGGGGGGGGGGGGAAGGGCGGATAGAAGGGGGGAGGTAGGAATGATTGGGGGGAAGTCTTTTAGACCCTGGTTTGACAGGAGTTCTGATCATCATGTTTTCTCATAGCTGCTGTGCCTGGGTACCAACACCCTAGCGAAGCCATGAATGCCCACACCCCCCAGTTTTATATCTATAAAATTGATGCATCCAATCGGGAGCAGCGGCTTGAGGACAAAGGTGTCTGAGGCCGTGGGAGGATGGGAGCCAGGAGGGGGGTTGGGCTTGGCTGCTTTCCCACAAGTATGTCACAACGGGCCCCTGCTCATTTCCAGGGGAAACCCCACTGGAGCTGGGTGATGACTGTAGCCTGGCTCTGGTATGGCGGAATAACGAACGCCTCCAGGAGTTCGTCTTGGTAGCCTCCAAAGAACTGGAATGTGCTGAGGATCCAGGCTCTGCTGGTGAGGCCGCCCGTGCTGGTCACTTCACCCTGGACCAGTGCCTCAACCTCTTCACTCGGCCCGAGGTGCTGGCACCTGAGGAAGCCTGGTGAGGAGAACACGGCAGTAGGGCAAGCAGTAGGGCAGGGTGAAGCGGACACTCTCTGGTCCTGACCCTTCTGTCCTGTACCAGGTACTGTCCCCAGTGCAAACAGCACCGTGAGGCCTCCAAACAGCTGTTGCTATGGCGCCTGCCGAATGTGCTCATTGTGCAGCTCAAGCGCTTCTCCTTCCGTAGTTTCATCTGGCGCGACAAGATCAATGACCTGGTGGAGTTCCCTGTTCGGTAAGAAGTGGCCCCTGGTGACTGTGGACAGTGCATTGGGCCCCAAGGCTCCGGCTGACTGTCTCACCCGTCCCTGATTCTAGGAACCTGGATCTGAGCAAGTTCTGCATTGGCCAGAAAGAGGAGCAACTGCCTAGCTACGACCTGTATGCTGTCATCAACCACTATGGAGGCATGATTGGTGGCCACTATACTGCCTGTGCACGCCTGCCCAATGACCGCAGCAGCCAGCGCAGTGACGTGGGTGAGGGCACACACAGCCAGCAGGATAGTTGGTAGGGGTGGTGGTGTAAGCTATGTTCACACTCTTCCCACCCTGCTATATAGGCTGGCGCTTGTTTGATGACAGCACGGTGACGACAGTAGACGAGAGCCAGGTCGTGACGCGTTATGCCTATGTACTCTTCTACCGCCGGCGGAACTCTCCTGTGGAGAGGCCCCCTATGGCAGGTCATTCTGAGCATCACCCAGACCTAGGCCCTGCAGCTGAGGCTGCTGCCAGCCAGGTGAGGCATGGGGAGGCTTTGTAGACTAGTGGGGACCAACTCAGATTGGGGGACAAGGTTGGGGACACATGGTTCCCTAACACTAAAGCTCACTGGGCGCCATCTTGGTGCCTTCAGACTACTCAGAAAGGGGTGTGTGTACACCAAAACACTACCACTAATGTGCACAAAGGCTTGCGTCAGGCAGCTTCTCCCTAAGATGAACATCCTATACTTGACGTCTCAACTTTCCCCTATGCGTTCCCCATATGCTAGCTACAGACCCTCACTCGTGTTCCTGTGTGTACTTAGGATAGGGCCTGTCAGGAGTAGCCGCAGCCTTCTCTGGCTGTCACACGCAGAGGTAAGTGACTATCCACACTGAGTCTTTAGGGACCTCTCTCCTTTATTGACATGATGTGCCAAAGGCCCATTTAGTGGGCCCAGTGCCGTCACTTTTTATTTTTGTCAGTCCTGGGGCTTGACCTGGACGCTGTCCCTCAGCTGTTCAGCTCAAGGCAAGCACTCTACTGCTTGAGCCACAGCACCACTTCCAGTTTCCTGGTGGTTCATTGGAGATAGGAGTCTCACGGCTTTGAAAAACCATGATCCTCAGATCTCCTCGAGGATTAAAGGCATGAGCCACTGGCGCCTGGCCCCATCACTTTTCTTGACTGCTTCCTTTACTTTCCCTCTGGTTCCTTGAGCCCTCCAAGTCAGACTCAGAGAGATTCCTCAGGAGACAGTGATCAGGATCTGGCTATGGGAGAGCCCATGTGGTTTGTCATGGGGTTGGCAGGCCTATCTTCCATGGCCAGTTCCCTGTATGGAATATCTAGACTAAAAATTTATCCAGATGAAACCCCCCCCCCAATCTTTCCCCAGGGGAAGGTACACGTGGATCGGAACAATAGCTTGAGGCCAAAATCTGCAAGGATTCTCACACACCGATGATCTTAGTCTAGGCAACCCTGAAATTAGCCACCTGTCCACCTCCCTGCTGTCTGACCTGTCATGCAAGGGCTTAGCTCTCGTCACCCAGGGCAGGAGTCATGTCTAGGGGTCTCTGGGACACTGGGACCTCCCCAACCCTCTGGGTGCTGATGGCCATTTCCACATGCTATAGGCTTCCCGGATTTGGCAGGAACTCGAGGCTGAGGAGGAGCTGGTGCCTGAGGGCCCTGGGACCCTGGGTCCCTGGGGGCCCCAAGACTGGGTGGGCCCTCCACCGCGTGGCCCTACCACAACAGATGAGGGCTGCCTCCGGTACTTTGTCCTGGGCACCGTGGCAGCCTTGGTAGCCCTTGTGCTCAACGTGTTCTATCCTCTGGTGTCCCAGAGTCGCTGGAGATGAGCTTACCTGCAGGCAGCTGCCATGAGCTGATCCACCTGCCTGCCTGCCTGCCAGGCCAGGCCTGCCTTTGTGCTGGGGAAGGAACTACTCTGGGCTTTGGGCCTCGGTGTATGCATCTGGTGGGAGAGTGTGGGGGACTGTAGCCTCTGCAGGGGCAGAGCCTCCGAGGGTGGATACCCATCCAGCTGTCTGTTCATTCCTCCTGCTGCTCTGACCCTTGGCCTAGGGCTGAGCCCAGCTGGAGCTACTTCCTGTATTTAAAGTGTTAATAAAGTGAGACTATTCAGGCCCAATCTTGTCTCTCTGTCTCAATGCTGCTATCTGCGCCTGCCTTGGGGCCCTCCCTTGGGTGCCAGGGCTCTGAACCAGCACCCCCGGGAAGCCAGGCAGCATGCTGACCCCTGTCCTCATATTCTGTTGCAGGGACTAGGCCCTGGCCAGGCCCCCGAGGTGGCCCCCACGCGGACAGCCCCTGAACGCTTCGCCCCCCCTGTGGACCGCCCAGCCCCCACCTACAGCAACATGGAGGAGGTCGATTAGCAGGTCCCTGGCTGATGGAGGGACTGGGTTCGGGGTTTCCCTGAAGAGGGCCATTTCTTTGTTACTTCTTCTCTAACCCAGGAGACATTGGCTCCATCAGTGGGAAGTTGGGAGGGGGGGGAACGATTTGGGACTGGGGACCTCACAAGTTGTGATCTTTTAGCTTGGTCCCCTGACCAGTGGGTCTTGTCTTCTCCAGCTGCCTCCAGTGCTGCGTAATTTGATTCTCAGTTGTATCTTCAATTCTTTCTGACTCGCATTATAAACGTTATAATTTTATTCTAAAAATTGTAATTTTTTTTGCATTTTGGAAGTGATTGCTGCTGTTTAAATATATTTTAAAAAAATAAATAAATAAGCAGACTTAGTGACTGATCCACCACATCCTACCTTCCCTCCCTCTCCATCATCTAGTGTTTGTGTATCTCTGTGTTAAAGGCCTCAAGAGTGCTTGAGTCTGAGAGAAAGTGGCAGTCACAGTTCATCCCCTGGAGTCAGGATGCCCCTGGTGTCGTCAGCTCTCCCGAGCCTGCCTACTGCCCTGTTATCTCTCAATGATTTTGGGTACCACATGAAGGTAGTAGTTGGAGGTTGGTATCACTAAGAAGACCTTAGGCTATCCCAGGGATGTCTCACTGCCTTCACTTTTCCTCCCTTCCTCTCTGCAACTGTAGGCATGGGGTGAAAGGTTCAGGCTACTGGAGTAGTCTGGGGCTGACAGCAGATCAGGGAGGACTTGATGGGGGATAAGAAGGTGCTCATATAAGAAGCTTGCCTTTGGATAGGCTGTTCCCTCTCCTTTGCAATTGTTTGCTAGTAATGTGGACATCTTTAAATAGACAGAGCTAAGATAACACTGATCAGTGTTGACATGCTCTAGTAAGGACAACAACATTGAAGCCAGGTGGAGTTGTTGGCTGAGGAAGTGGGCTTGGAGAACTGGGGTGGTGGGATCTTGCATAAATGGACATACCTATGTGCTGATGCTGGTGGCTGTGACTGATGTACTGCCTGCTAGGGATGGGCTATAACAGGACTGTGCTGGGTCTTTTGTGTATGCAGCCCCCTCCTTGGGTGTGTGTGTGTTGGGGGGAGAGTTTAGTGGAGATAAGAGTTTCATGAATCTGTCCGCCTGGGCTGGCTTTGAACTGCAATCCTCAAATCTCAGCCTCCTGAGTAGGATTTACCTGATTTATGCAGTCCTCTTAATGCTAAGCCCATAACCTTATACCTTTCTGGGGCATCTGCATAAAGTTGCTGTGGCCTCTAGTACCATGGCCCTCTGCTGTCCCAGGGATTTGTCCATAGGTCTGACTATGGAATCCCACCCCATGCCAGAAAGGGTCTTAGGGAGTTGGGTATCTATCAGTGGTTCATACCTGTAATCCTAGCTACCCAGAAGGCTTAGATCTGAAGATCTCAGTTCAAAGCCAGCCTGGGCAGGAAAGTCCATGAGACTCTTAACCATCAAAAAGCTAGAAGTGGGGCTGTGGCTCAGGTGATATAGCACCTGTCTTGGGCAAAAAGCTAAGGGACAGCCAGAGCCTGAGTTCAAGTTCCAGTCTCAAAACACACACACACACACAGGGGTGTGGTTCTTAACTGGCTTCTTTCCTTGGTCATTTTCAAATAGGCTGAGTCTATAGAACTTCACACTTCTGCTCTGTGCAAGTCATATGGTTACAGGGACTTCCTAGTCATCTGTTAATCTGCTACCACCACTAACGACTTGCTTGATGGCCCCAGTGGACCTACTGAAACTTCCTAGGACCCACATGAGGGAACCAAGGAAGGGAGCACAGGCTCTGACCCCAGTGATAGAACCATTGCCAGACTTGCAGGATTTGATGATGGTGGTGATCATGTTTCAATGAATCCTTGAAAGTGGCACCAGGTACTGAGGGATCAGTGGCAGTAGCAGGCACTTTGTATTGCTCCCTCTGCTCTTCATAGGCACATTGTGTTGGGCAAGGCCTCTGCAGCCATAATTGGCACAGGACTAGAACTGTGGCTCTGCTTCTTGGTACTCTGCATTTCCTACTCCTACACATAGTTGTTGTTGGAATGTGAGCACACAGAAGGATATAGGATATGGTTTAATGGCCTAATCAAACTCCTGTCCAATCCTTAAAGACCAAGAAGTATGGAGGATATCAAAACTTTCTAGAAGGCTGGGCACTAGTGGCTCAAACTTGAAAGCCTGTAACCTAGCTACTCAGGAGGCTGAGATCTGAAGATCTGAGGTTCAAACCAACCCAGGACAGGAAAGTCCCCATGAGACTCATCTCCAATTATCCATTCCAAAACAGGAGGTGGCACTGTGGCTCAAAGTGGTACATGGCTAGCTGTGAGCAAAAAAGATAAGGGACGAGTGTCTAAGCCCTGAATTCAAGCACAAAAAAAAACAAAACAAACCTACTTCCAGAGCCTGAGATCCAGTCCTGCATTTGACATTTGCTCACTGTCTATCACCTTTGATTGAAAGAACAATGTTCCATGTTAGCATGCATATTCTAGCAGTTCAGAAAAATTTAGGGGAGACATTTCTATCCCAACCTCCCAGTCCTCCTTCTAATTTGCCTTTTCTTTTTGGTGAGATCTGAATGCCTTGGCAATAATGGCAAATGTGGCACAAGATTTTATTTTATTTATTTTTGGTCCGGTCGTGGGGCCTGAGCTCTGGGCCTGGGCGCTGTCCCTCAGTTCTTCAGCTCAAGGCTAGTGCTCTACCACTTGAGCCACATGCACCACTTCCGGCTTTTTTCTTCTTGTTTATGTGGTGCTGAGGAATCGAACCCAGGGCTTCATGCATGCAAGGCAAGCGCTCTACCACTGAGCCACCTTCCCAGCACAAGATTTTATTTTTATCACAAGGTATCACTAATGTTACCCAGGCTGGTTTCCAATCCACCACCCTCTGGCTTCAGCTTCTGGAATAGCTGCGATTAACAGGCACAACGGAGATCTCCCCGGGACTCAGTTCGCTTCCCCGTTTCCATGACAATTCAGAAGCTGTGACGTAAAAAAGGCGCGACTAGAATTTTAAATCTGCTGCTCCCCAACAGCCTTGGGTCAACGACACAGGTCCAGGAGCCAAAGGCCACCTGCCACGTCTTCACCTGCCTCCTTGCTGTTATTATTGTCTCTTTAGGTCCAAGACAAATCTATATTCCCAAAGAACCTATCCCTTTCATTACCCGAGACGGCGACCACGAAGACGGAAGGACTCGCCCTGAAAGGACTGGTTCTTCTGCTCAGTCCCTTAAATGGCGTCGCCCAGCTGAGGGTCCCGCCCCCTTTCAACAGAGGACGGTTACTATTGGCTCTCCCTGAAGGCTTCGTGTTCTGATTGGTCAGCGGGGCGAATCTCGTGGCGTAGCTTCAGTCAGGGCTTCTTTTGGTTTCCGGTGTGCCTGCCATGGCGGTCCCTGACTCTCTGACGCTTTTCACGGGCCTCGGCCTGAGCGAACACAAGGCTCGAGAGACACTCAAGAACACGGCTCTGAGCACGCAGCTGCGGGAGGCGGCGACCCAGGTGAGTGCGCCCCTGCCCTGGCCCTGGATGTTGGATCTGTCCCCGAAGTAGCGTGGGGGGCCGGGGCCAGATGGCGACCTGCTCCCCTTCCGATCTCTTGGACTCCAGGCGCAGCAGACTTTGGGCTCTACCATCGACAAGGCTACCGGGACTCTACTGTACGGTTTGGCTTCCCGTCTCAAGGATACGCAGCGCCTTTCTTTTCTCGTGAACTACATAGCCAGTAAGAAGATCCACACAGAACTGCAGCTGAGCGGTAAGACCCCTGTCTAGAGTGCCAGTTCTACTTCCAATCCATCCCTTCAGCCAAGACTTCCGTCTGTCTCCCCCCCCCCCCAAGTCCTCCAGTTTCTTTCTGAACACCTAGTTCTGGATAAGCACGAAGACATGGTGGGGGGGGGGTGGCCTCTGTGAATATTCACGTTGAGCAGCCTCCCCTGGAATCCATACCTCTTCCTAGGGCCTTCAGACTCCTATCTAGTGGGCTTAATCTCCCTGGAGGCCAAACTGAATTTGAAGTTTGACTGGATTAGGACAACTAGTCTACCCCACCTCTTGGAACTGAGATGCCCTAAAGTCCTTGCCTCCTTTCTTAGCTGCCCTGGAGTATGTTAGAAGTCATCCTCTGGACCCCATCGACACTGTGGACTTTGAGCAGGAATGTGGTGTGGGTGTCATAGTGACCCCAGAGCAGATTGAAGAGGCTGTAAGTTTTTCCAGGCATCAGGTGTCCCTCTAAGTTCTGGCCCTCGAAAGGAGTGGTTCAGGAGGACTCCGGGTGAGGGTGTGGGTCCCTAGAATTTGTCTGAAAGGACTTCCTGAACCATGTGTTTTGGTTTTCCACAGGTGGAGGTCACCATAAATAGGCACCGGCCCCAGCTCCTAGCAGAGCGTTATCGGTTCAACATGGGGTTGCTGATGGGTGAGCAAACCTGGGGAAGGAAGATGTGTTCTCCTTGGTCATGAGTGAGAGTGAATAGGGGAAGGAGCAGAAGCGCCTTAAAAGTATACTAGCTGGGTATAGGCATGGATTCCTGTGGTCAGCTAGGACGTTTCCTTGGGGAGGAGGGGAAGGAGTGTCCTTTTTTGCCTTTTGCAGCTTCTTGTGCCCATGCTCCTAGGAGAGGCCCGGGCTGCGCTCAAGTGGGCAGATGGCAAAATGATCAAGAATGAAGTAGACATGCAGGTGGGCACCTCCCTGAGCGGAATCAGCTGGCAAAGACTTGGCATGGACAGAGCCTGGAATCTACTGAGGGATAAAGGGGGGAGGAAAGTCTGTTCTAATGGTCAAGGGGTCAACACCTGATTTGCACTGTAGGTTGATCCTAATTTGTGATGAATCAGTTAACTGAGTCTCAATAGAATCATCCCCCAAACAGGGATGATATATATGGCCTTTATCTCGGGATAATAGACTCAGTGGAGGATAATGGCTGAGGTAGATGCTTATCTTGATGTTAGGACCACAGTTCTCTGTAAATGACAGTTCTTGTTACTTGGGCACAATGTGGATCCTCAGAAAGGAGAAGCATTTGAGGCAGCAGCATGAGGAGTTGAGATAGGATGAGCTAGGTGGGTTATTCTGGATGCTGATAGGCCACAAAGTACTTGAGTGAGTGAGTGAGTAAGTGAGTACGACCAATCAGGGAAATCCTCGAAGGAGCATAATTCTATTCCTCCCTGACTCTTGTGTCTATGTAGGTCCTCCACCTTTTAGGTCCCAAGATGGAGGCTGATTTGGAGAAGAAACCCAAGGTGAGGCTGGATATCACCCGAGTTGCTGGTGGTGAGGTGGGGCAGGAGCAGAATGAGACTTCAAACTGGGGAATGGAATGTCTGACCTTGTCCAGAGGTGATGCTGGTGTGATTTCACTGTTTCCTTTAGGTGGCAAAAACAAAGCCAGAAGAAACAGACCGGAGGAAAGCAAAAGATACGGAGAACGGTGAGAAGCCTAAGGCTTCTGTTGCATTCAGCTCTTGACTAATGGGAGTTCCCTTTGAAAAGGGGCCTTATAGCATAATTTCCTAAAGTTCTTTAGCTTATTCAATACCTTGCCTTCTGCCCCAAGGTTGAGATTTTTTTCTTTGTGTGTTTTTTTTTTTGGGGGGGGGGCTTGAACTCAGGGACTGGCCCTGTCCCTGAGCTCTTTTCTTCAAGGCTAGTACTCCTACTGCTTGAGCCACAGATCTACTTCTGGTTTTCTGGTGGTTAATTGGAGACAAGGATCTCTATTTTCTTGGTTTGCTTGCTCAGTTGGCTTTACTCCTTGAGCCATGTCTCTAGCATTGCTTTTTTGGCTTTTTTTGTTGTTGTTGTTGGTCGTGGGACTTGAACTCTGGGCCTGGGCACTGTCGCTCAGCTCAAGGCTAGTGCTCTGCCACTTGAGCCACAGCGCCACTTCCTGTTTTCTGGTGGTTTATTGGAGATAAGAGTCTCATGGACTTTCCTGCCCAGGCTAACTTTGAACTATGACCCTCAGATCTCAGCCTCCTGAGTAGCTAGGATGACTGGCATGAGCTTGTCTGGTCTGTTATCAACCTACCATCCTCCTAATTTTAGCCTCTTGAGGTATAAGCCATTGGCATCCAGCGCTAGAGTTTGTTTCATAATCTTTGGGCAAAAACCAGTCTAAGAGACCTGATAAATCCCATTCTATATTTCGTCTCTCTGGAATATAGAGAAAAGGAGCCTGTTTATATCTGTTCTGGATAATTGAAAGAAAAAAAAAAAGGAAAGGATTGATGGATAGTAGCAATCGGTGCCTTTTTGAGCTGGATATGGGGTAGCTAAATCCAGAGGATAAATTTTTCTTGGTTTCTTCCCAAAAGGAGATGCTGTCGGCCAGACCCTGTCTCTGATGGAACAGCTCCGAGGGGAGGCCCTTAAGTTCCACAAGCCTGGTAAGTAGATATGTTGGATCCCTGTGGAGGACTGATTGATGGCAATGATTCCTGTAGCCAGGACCCTTGGGGTCAAGGACATGGGCCACCACTTAGCCTCACTTCAGATTTTGTCCTGATGTTGGCAGGCGAGAACTACAAGACTCCAGGTTATGTGACCACCCCACATACCATGGATCTACTGAAGCAGCACCTGGAGATCACTGGAGGGCAGGTTTGTGGGAATGTGGGCTGGCTAGCTAGTATTTGGGCCAGCTCCGTACTGACATATCTTATTCATGATTGTGGTCTCTCTGGGAGGGGGCATCTGTTTCTTTAAGATGATCTGAGCTCTGACATTATCTCTCTCTGCTCATGCCATGATTGCAGGTACGGACTCGGTTTCCCCCAGAACCCAATGGAATCCTGCACATTGGACATGCCAAAGCTATCAATTTCAACTTTGGTTATGCTAAGGTGAGTTTTCCAGGATGCTGGTAAGCAAGGTGACTTGGCTACTGCCATGACTGGCACTAGAAAGGAATCTTTACCTCTGATAATGTTCCTGATGGGTGGGCACAAGCCATAGAGGGAACCATACAGGTATGATCAATACCTACAAATACATTGGACTAGCTGAGAAAAAATTCTGGAAACCCTGGAAAGACTATGTTGTCTGTTCCAAGTCAGCTTTGTGTGTGTGTGTGTGTGTGTGTGTGTTTGTGTCTGTCTGCCTGCCTGCCTGCCTGCTGGTCCCGTGGTTTGAACTCTGGGCCTGAGTATTGTCCCCTGACCTTATTTGCTCTACTACTTTCTGACCTTTCTGGAGGTTAATTGGATAAGAGTCTCCCAGGCTGGTGTCAAATCACAATCCTCAGATCTCAGCCTCCTGAGTAGCTAGGATACAGGCGTGAGCTACCAGTACCCAGCTTTGTTTTTGTATTTGAGACAGAGTCTTGCTGTTTCAGACTGGCCTCTTACCTTGCTATCTTCCAGCATGAGCCTCCCAAATGCTGGGATTACAGGGGTGAACCACTTCTCCTGGCTCATCTGAGGAATTTAGATAGAAGATGGGGCTGGGAAGGTGGCTCAGTGGTAGAGCACTTGCCTTGCATGCCAGAGGCCCTGGGTTC